AATGGGATTTTATTGTCTCAGAAACCTGAGGTTGACAAGGAAGACCCATACCATACAGCTGCTGGCAACATATAGATTTTCATACCCTGCATACCACTAGAGGAAAGTGAAACCTGCTTCCAACAGCAGGCTGATCACTTCCCATGGACTCACATGTGACATTTCTAGTGTTATTACTCCAAAACTCACTGACTATTAAAAAAAGGCAGAGGAACAAGAGAAAAATGCCTAATTATTCACCACAGGTAGATGACAATTCTGGTCCTGTTTTTGATTCACATGTTGGGCTTCATTTGGCTCTCACATTCACTGGCTTGAGTCAGAAGCGACTAGAAGACACCCAATGGAGTACGAGGCCCATGGAATCTGAGTTACCACACTATTAACCAATGCCACAGAAGTACTACTGTAATGCCGATGGTGTGGCTTTAGACTTACTTATACCTATTATCCCATAATCTCAGCACCATTAGACAGGTGAATTCTGCTGGCTCTTGTCACCTACTGGAATAGGAGCAGCACCTTATCAAATAACATGTTTTAAGTACGGCTATCGTAAGTGAAGCAAGCAGCTGCCCAATTAAAACAAGCAAATTTGCAAGTGCTATTTTCTCCCAACAATAACCGTTTCCCATTCAGATTGGCAGAAATCACTCCTACTTAACCAATGATCTCACTAAAGCTGCCATAAGCTCATTTAACCAAAAAAATAACCATATGTGCTGAAAGAAGGGGTCCAGCTTGCAGCCACTGACATCCTGGAGGTCTGTGCAGTGAACATCGTGGGGCTACACAAACTCAGCACCCATGAGTTGCTCAGCACAGTGCACAACCCTGGGCAGAAAAGCATCTTCCAGAAGATGTGGGGAACAAAGATACGATTTTGCTTCAGCTACAGAGGGAGCCTTACTACCAGAACTGAATACCAAGGTTAAAACTAGCCAGCCATCATTACAGTTTCAAAGACGAATGGGTTGGGTTTTTTTTAACACAATTCGAAATACCAGGCAGTCAGAGGCAGAGAACGCAAGTCCTGCTCTGGCTTTCTTTAGATGTATGAGATATGAACAGCTTGTTCTACAGAATTGATCAATCAGTCTTGTCTAAAGCATCTTTATGCTCTGCGAGTGTTTGGTTGTCCTCTATTGCCAAGAGGAGGTCTAGCACAGGCCTAGTTACACAAACATTAATTTCTCCAAGAAATATACTTACAGCAATGCACTTGGAGAAATGCCTCAAGTATTAAACCCCAGCTCCTAAAAAGAAATCCTTATTATCTCAATATGGGTGCAAGACTAGCGAATCTAAAGGCCCATATGAAACCAATTTCATGCAATTTCGTAGCCATATATAATTGGGGTGTGTGTGTATGTGTGCATAATTGGTTTCAAATGCAGGTCACAATGGACTGACTGAAGCGTCTGGCTCTTTGTCAGTCCAGTGTATTCCCCCACTGTTTGAACAACAGTTTTCTATTTAGAGGTAACTGGTAACCATCCTGCCTTTCCTGCGTTGAAAGAATGAAACCCACTACCCCGTATCAAGGAAAAGATTAATATCTGATTTGAAGAAAAGACTTCACGTGTGCTTTGTTTACGACTGGCAGTGATTTTAAGCCACGTGTTTTTTTTAATGGTCTGGTAACTCTTACTTTCCTCCTTTTTAATCATTTCTCGGGGGGAAGGTGAAGAAGGAAAATTTCCTCTGCTCATATCTGCTGAAAATGCCAGTCTGTACCTGGAAAGGATACTCATGGACAATAATAATAACTCATGGACTCATAATAACTACTTTCCTATGTTAGTTACTTACTCCTTAATGAAGGGGAAATGAGTTTTTCTTTAAAAACAAAGCTCTACTGATGCTGAAGTTCACAAAATGCTGGTACCAGGTTTTACTGCAGTACACCTCAACCAAGTAATGCCCTGGAAGGTTCCAAGAGCTGGCAAAGGAACCCTGCACAGCATCTTCACAAACGGTACCTGCGCAGCTCCTTTTTCTTACATGAGGTTAGGAAGACCTTGGCGGTACAAGGTACTTTGTCAGAGTCCTGGTTTCAGGAGGGAAGACTTGTGTTAAGGCTAAAGTCAAGCAGAAAATGATTTTTCTGATGGTGAAGGCTCCTGTTTACACCTCCCTTGTGTGGGCAGACCTTGAATTATGTGGCTGAGTCAGGAAAGTGCAGGTGTGACCAAACCTGCACCACTGACTATTTCAGTAGTAACTGAAACTCTTTGAATCCAGCTTTACTCTGGTCTGTACGTGAACCTGGTAAACTCACTCATCTTTCTGAGAAAGCAAAGACAAAACACCTCATGTTCCTATGCAGCATATGTTGACACAGAGAAAGCACTGACAAAGTGGAGTATTATTGTTATTGTGTGTGTGTGTGAAAAGTTCAAGCAACTTTTGAGCTTTTCAAACCGGGCCATGAAATGTTGCACAATGAACACCAGCAAGCCAAAAAATTCAGGTGAGGAAAGGGAGAGACTTCTGATTTGTAGCAGTGCTTACAGATCGCCTTCAGTGAACAAACGCGGTAAAAAGTCACAGGGAAAAGAAACAGCACACAGGAAAACGTAATTGGATAAAAAAAGTTACAGGAAACAATGCATACATTAAAATAGTCTGTGTTTGTATGCAAACCTCGCTACAGAAACTGGAAAGCTTTCTACAGACTTTCTACTAGTAACACATATATGAGACAGGCATCATTACAGCTATCTGACAGATAGAAGCATTAAGGTTACCACCAACATTAAGGGGCTGGCTCGTGAGTCACCCCAGCACCCATTAGTGACAGGATGGGGACTACAATCCTGTTCTTCTCACCCCTGTGGACTTCTCACTCATGTTCTCATACAGCAGCCATATGACTATTTATGAAGTGACATGCCTGGTTAACAGAAGGACTACGCTGAACTTTAGGAAAAACTTTCAAGAACAGCTTAAAATACGTAAAATTGAAAACACAATATAAAGAAAGCAAGGAACATTTCTGTGTGTAACTAAGTCACCACAGAGGGTCAAATTCACATGTATCATCTGTACATGCCAAACCTGCACCTCTTCTGTTAGAGTAACAGTGTATTTAAATATAGAATACGTTCTGGCATAAGATGAGAAGATATTTCGGCAAATATCCTTTCATGTGTGTGAGCGGGTATGCTCATGAAATAAAGGCGGCCCTGGAAATCTACATCCTCTAGAATGGACCTGTCACATTGTCTGCGACACACTACAGGAGTATCTTGTACTGGACACAAGTCTACCGGGACACTGCACGTTCTCCCAGAATAGAGCATCATTTATTTTTAAATAGGGAGGTGGGTTGCTCCAGCCCTTGCCATGCTGCAAAAGAATGCAAAGAGAGGCACTACAGCATACCTTTAAAAAAACTCTGGTGAGGAAGCAAACAATCAAAATTTAATTTTCAGCTAGAATATAAACCCTATATGTTGCATCACTTAAGAAACACAAACAAAGGATATAAAGTTACCATCAAGTGCAGTGGTACTTTAGTTGGTCCTTTGGCAGAGATTTTCTCCCACAGACCCCTTCGCACGTACCGGACAGTAGTGCCTGCGATCTGAAACTCACCAGGAAGCTCAATTTTCCAGTCGCTGTTAATGGATCTCTTACTGGAATCTTTTAAAGCTGGAATGAATCAAACACCATTGAATGAAATGTAAGCAAATTTGTAGTTAGAATATAGACTATTGAGCTTCTGTCTCAGCCCACCCAAAGTACAAGATGCAGTAGCCTTGTAATGGACATGAGTTTAAAAGGAAAAAAAGTATAATTATAGCTGACTCATCATAATGTTTCTAACTTGGGCATATTCTCTATTTCAGTTGATGAAGGCATTTCTAATTATATTAACATTGCTATTAAGTAAAATAATGTCATACAAACTGGTCTTGCTAAGGTTTTACTACCTAAAATTATGTTCTGCTTTCCAAATAAGCAACATTCTCCAGTTTCAAAACTTTGAGGCATTCTCTGTGCCATTCCACTGCCAGAAAATTTAAAGGGAAGACAAAGAGAGTGTGCAGAAGGAGTTACAAAGGAAATAAAAGGAAGGAAAGATAACTACCCACTGTCCTTGAAAAAATACTACTAATTTAGGACTAAATGGTAGAACTCTTCCACAGTTTGACCTATTTCAGGAGCATGTCCAAAAACCACACATACTCATGGCATATTGTTGAATTCAGTTACGTATACAGCTCTGCTTTTGCAAAGGAAAGCTTGCACACTGAAATGTTTCTCTGATTTTCAGTGAAGAGAGATTTAATTTGGATTTAAAAGTAATACTAAAATATTACAGCATTGTGCTAACAAGCAAGAACCACAAAGTAGAGGTGACTGACTAGGAAAGTGCAACACTTACTAGCCCATTTTCCCTATCCAAGCTAAGCAGAGTGGAGATTGTAAACAGAGAGCGTAATTAGAGAACAATCAGTCAGAGCCATAATTCTTCCTGGAATAATCTCAATACTATTTGTCAAAGGTTACATGGGAAACATGTAGGCATATATGCAAAATGAACACACCTGGAATATTCTGGTATACTGGAAATTAACACTTAGATCACTTTAAGGATTATTCTCAAAACTAACTATTTAGATTTTAATCTTAGAAAAATTGATAGTACCATAAATTCGGACACATACATCAAACTGGCAGACATGATGTAAGAATCTAATACCACAGAGTAGCTGCTTGCGTATGACCTGACGATACTTCTGGTAAAACACTTAGACATACTTGCAGTGTTATACTCTTAGAGCTATTAAGAGTAGTTGGGGTGAAATAGTATGAGAGCACCAGTGGCTGTAAACTGAAGTACGGTTTGCAAGGCGAGATCTATATATCTTTATGTAGACTGCCTATCCTGAGACAGATTAAAGTCTGGCAGCAGCTGGGTTCAGAGATTCTCACTCAGATAGTACACAAGGAAACCTATTCTGATCTTCAAGCGTTAACATAAAATTCACAGATCATTTATCTCTAAACTCTCCTTTCAAAAGCAGAAAGACAACTCTGCATTTTTTTTGTTTGTTTCCAAGCAGAACCAGCTTTTGAAACTGTATTTTCCTAAACTTCGAGAAAAAGATCAACCAAATCTCTGTGTTCAAATACACATGAAGATCTGCAAGTGCAAAATAAAACAAAACTGTTCCTGAGTTTGTGTGTGCTCCACAATGTAAACATTGAACAAGTTAACATTTCGCTGTCATAGTTGTAAAGAGAAGTCAAGTTACAAAGCCAAGATTGGTCAGTGGACAGAATGTGAACTTGGCGGATGAGCTTAACAGACCCTTGTGCTTTAGCCTGGAGGGCAGAATATTCCAACCTGCAAGCACTAGCTACAGGCATAATTTAGAATGGCCCTTAGGTTGTTCTAAATTACTCCAGACGCTTTTTTGTGAGTTAAATATCTGGACAGGCATTATAAAGCTCCAGCATCAGAAATAAGCAGAACTTACGGTCAGGATACTTCCTGATGCCTTCTTTGCTCTCAAAAGGCAGAAGCAGATAAGATACAATCTACTCCTAGGTTTCATGGAAACCAGGCCACAAATAAAAAACATCAGCAGGCAAGGAACAGCCTGCCACAGCCACCCTCCTTTCAGAGTCCATGAGCTGGACACACATGCATAAGGTCAGATACTGTAGGATCACGTCCATCCTGTCAAGAAGTGCCTCTATGCATCAGTAGAGACAATGAAGAAAGCTCTACTGCACAGGGAAGCCCTGTAAGTTGAACACTGAGAAGAAAAGATACTTGGAGTAACATGTCTTTTCTTCCAGCATAACCTATTGCATCAGCATCACCGATATCCTTCAAACACTGAAAGACAACTCCAGCCATAAGGACAATCACATTACTGTTGACTTGTCAGTGCAAGTTGATTTAGGGATTTACGTGTTTTCTACATTAGAACAGGAAGCACAGTTATTCAGATGACTGTGTGATGCATTGAGGGAAGAGAAAATTGGCAGACCCTGTTCTAACAGAAAGTCCCAGGCCCCTTTGTGGAGATCCATGCACCATGATCAAATTTGCCCTGACATCAGACAGACAGAATAGCCCGTGTGTTACTGGGCTTCCTTAGTTCAAGGTTAACTGTGTCTTTTGACTAAGCCTTGAACAAGATGTTTTCTTAACCTCCAGCATTTCATGCCTCTTTATTCTCTTCCAGTAAAAAACACAATCTTGGCTTTCACTTAACTGAGTGTGTTGCAAGAAGGTAAGAGGAGCTGATTTAAAGCCTTTTCAGGTCAACAGGAAAATCTCTCATTGTCATCTCTTTGGATCAAGTCCCCAGAGCCAGCAAACCCTACCAGGTGTGCTTAGGCTGTATATAATTGCCTAATATGCTTAGAAGGAAAGGAACCTGACTTCTTGTCAACTGCACAACACAGCTGACTTACCAGTTGGGTCTAATTTACCGTGGGAGTGTTTGTAGCAATACCAGGCTATTCTACATAGACTTTCCTTTTATTCTAGTTGGCCATGTCTAACACCTTTTATATAGCTATTACAATGAAGGTTCCCTCAAGAAATGAGGGGCCAGCTCATCCTTTCCTCAAATAAAGTTTAAGAAGAAAATCCCTGTTACATTTCTCTTTAGGGGGTTTCCTGAAAAACTGTTCTATTTGGTTCAACAGGACAAGCGCCTGGCTCCACAGATCCCAGCAAGTCTGTCAAAGGTAAGAGGAGATACCTGAAGTGATTCCAGCACAGGGCACCATCTCACAGCGGAAACCTATTTTTAGACTATTCCACATACAGCACACAGACATGTTCCCAGGCACCTGGGAACCTCTGTGTTGTTACAATGGTCCCCAGCATACTTTATGGCCCAGGTCAACTTGAATTCTCCCAAACAACTCCTAGTGTGGCTCAGGATCCAGGACTTTCCAGGGTCCCTTCCCAATAAGCAGTTATGCAGGCAGCCCCCCTTCAGTGGGGGCCGAGAGCCCATACACAAGATGCTCCATGACCACTGGCCTCAGTGCCCAGGAATATTTCAGGGCACATTCAATTTACCAACTGAGCATCATTTGTAATGTTTAACCTCTGGGGAAGTCTGGAGCCGGTGGAGGTTGCAATGTCCTCTGCATCTGTGTGTGCCCTCCTGAGGGTCTGCATCCTGGGGAATTACTGGAGAAAGGTGGAACATCCTTCTGTCCTGCTGCACACAACCTTCCTGACAGCTCTCATGGTCCCATTAGAGGCTCCAAAATCAGGCTGAAGGGAAAGTGCAGGTATGGTATCCCCAGGAGGAGTGGGATGTATGTGGGGGAATGTTTTTTCTGAGGGAAGTTCTCTTTGGGACATAGACTAGGGGGTATGATGATGTCCTGGTATTTGCATGTTGCAGCAATATAACTCTGTCTGTGGCTTACTTCTCTTCCTGCCTCATTCCTTGATCTACAAAGTACTTTCTGCAAACTTCAGACGGAATTCTGCAGCAGGATTGCTTTCCTCTGCCAAAGCCTAGTGTCTTCCAGGCAGATCAAAGCAGCCATTACACTGGCCTCGAGGAGCCGTGAACATGACTAATCAAAGCTGTGGACTGAGATAAAACTATCTCCATGCAGTATGGCTGACTAGTAAAGATACCACGGCACATGCTCAAAACAGCGTGTAAGAGCTTGAATGACTAAAATTATGCTTTGGTACCAGCTCACCATCAGAGGAAGATAGCTCGCTGATGAAAACCAAAATGTTTAATCTTTGTGGACCTCTTTTCTGGGAAAGGTTTGATTTTGATTGCTGCAGACACTGCTCCCTTAGTGACTGAGGAGACGGAGAGTTTGGAAACAGCCCTATTCCCAAAGGTGCTCCTTAAGGATTGCAGGAATTACACCAGAGACTCAGCAGAGTATTTGGGCCCAAGTATTTTTCCCACTGTGTCTTCATTGCACACAAGTGCCCCATCAGTAGGGATCGATGCTGCAGCTATAAAACCCCGATGTCTCTCAGACACAGGGTACTGCTCTTTCTCCAATGGCTTCTGTCACACACAACTCTTGCAGGCCTGGCTCTGCCTAGCCCCAGAGGTGATAGTACTAAATTCAGTGGCGTGAGTAGGTCCTTTTGCTCTTATTGAATGCTGTGCTTTTCATCCAAGCATTGCAGAAGCACTTTGCAAGACAGCAAGTATCTTTACTGCCATTTTAGAGAATAAGCAAAGCATGCAACAAAGAACACTTTCCCAACCTCCCTGAGAGCTCAGTGGCAGGACCCGAGGAGACCAGGACATACGCAATCTCCTCTGACAAAACTTGTCTGACTCTGGTGGAAAAGCCCAAACAGGAAAGCAGCTGTAAGCCCTTTTTGCCAAGCAGTCCCCACTGATTTAAGCTAGCACCCACAGGTTTTATTCTGCCTTGGACAGCTGGCTGCAGGTCTCCTGGGACCCTATGCCTCAGACAGGGTAGCAAAGCACAGCTCTTTCTCTTCTCCCCATTGGGGGTGCATTTAGGCAGTAGCAAGAATCCACTGTTACATCTCTAAGCTTTTTCTGGCTCCAAGTTGTACGGTAGAAGAGCAAAAGAAAAAGGACCCCCGGCAACAACCTGTAACTACTTTTTTTCTTGTTGGCTGGAAGACAGGAACTGACCAATCTATTTCTAAACCTGGCATCTAGTCAGATCTTTATTTCCACCTTGGGTCCCTCCAGCTTGCTTCCCAGCCTGTGGACACAAACTGCCGACGCATTTCCTGTTCAAGGTGGTTTTTAAGCGTTACAGCCAGCCAAGGCAGCCAGCGTGGGTTGCCTGTAGGTGGAGGGAAATTCTTCAGGCACTGCTCCCAGCACATGGAATAATGATTCCAAATTATGCTGGGCTCATTTCCAAAGTGCTGTACCCGGTTCTGAGTGGAAATAGGACGTGATTGGACTCAACTTTGTCAGTGTAATTGAAATAGAAAATCCTTCCATACTCAGACCTAGATTTACAATGCATTATGAGGCCTATCAGAGTGATTTGATCTTGTTTTCTTGGTCATCTTTTTATCATAGAAATCATAGAATCATAGAATCGTTTAGGTTGGAAAAGACCTCCAAGATCATCCAGTCCAACCATTAACCTACACTACCAAGTCTACTCTAAGCCAATCAAGGGTAGACTAGACTAAACCATGTCCCGAAGTGCCACATCTACCCGTTTTTTGAACACTTCCAGGGATGGGGACTCCACCACCTCTCTGGGCAGCCTGTTCCAATGCTTGACCACCCTTTCCGTAAAGAAATCTTTCCTAATTTCCAACCTAAACCTCCCCTGGCGCAGCTGGAGCCCATTTCCTCTCGTCCTAGTGCTAACTACATGGGAGAAGAGACCAACACCCACCTCCCTACAACCTCCTTTCAGGTAGTTGTAGAGAGCGATAAGGTCTCCCCTCAGCCTCCTCTTCTCCAGACTAAACACCCCCAGCTCCCTCAGCCGCTCCACATCGGCCCTGTGCTCAAGACCCTTCACCAGCCTTGTTGCCCTTCTCTGGACACGCTCCAGCACCTCAATGTCTTTCTTGTAGTGAGGGGCCCAAAACTGCACACAGCATTCCAGGTGCGGCCTCACCAGTGCCGAGTACAGGGGAACAATCACCTCCCTGCTCCTGCTGGCCACACTATTCCTGATACAGGCCATTGGAACTGTCCTATTGGAACACTCCTGCTGCTATTCTTCAGCTTAGGTTAGCAAGACATTGGGTATCTTTTCTTTGTGTCCAGTGTTCCTTGAAAGAGAAAACCCTGGAAAGCTTAGAGAGGTTCTCCTGGCTCCTGACCATGAACCAAAGAGCTAAAAGCATTCAGAAGCTTTCAAATAGCCAGATTTTTATCTGTCTTTATGCGATGCACACAGGGCCAAGTCCTGCTCTCAAATATACACAATCCTAATCTTCACCACCCAGCGGGGAAATATCTACTTTAGTCAAGGTTATGTGGTCACAATGAAGGGCAGTCGCTAGCTCCACGTAAGACTCTCAGTGCTGCAGCTATCTGCCAAAGCCCAAGCCCCGGACAAATACCCTATGCAAATCCCACCAAGACAAACAAAAAGGCTGGCTTCCAGAAGGCAGAGTATTTGCAAAACCCAAGGAAACACTGGCTCTCATTGTTCCACCAGTGCTTTGCTATGTCAAACATCTTACGTGTAGGCGTAATCCTCTCCCAGCAAGCTGGCTGCAGCATTAGTGGAAATACTAGCAGTAGTGATACGTGCTTCCTACCAAGAAGTGGCACAAATGCCAATGCTTTTGACCTAAGGGCAGCTGAATGACGTGATTTGCCCTCTTTTTCCTCCCTGAATCTGGAAGGAAAGACAGAGAACAAAAGCATCTTCCCAAGTGATATTGCCAACTTTGGTAGCGTCTCAAGACAGAAAACCAATGGCACTAGACCTGAAATCCGAAGACACAATCCCTAGGTAAATATTTTCAGCGGCACCTATCTCTCAGCACGGGATGTTAACATCTGCTTTTGGCTGCAGAGATGGAGGATCATAAGCAAAAGACATGGAAATCAGGAACCAAGGATACTGGTCTGAGCTTTGCTACTGAGTCCCTGCATAGCCATGAGCAAGCTACAACACCTCACTTTCTCCTTCGGTAAAACAGAGAGCAACAAGCTTCGTAATCCTCTCAGAGTTCCTACCACAGGCTAGATATATTTCTGGAAGAAATTTCATCTTTCAGAGTGCTTTTCTATCCTAAAACCTTGCAGTGTCTCCGCTCTGAGAAGCTCGCTTTGAGAGAACCAGAACATGCATGAGTGAAAACAGTACCTAATACTTCCCAGGCTAAGGGACAGCTGGAACATGCATCTCTTCCAACCACTGCAATGAGAATATCAGCATGTGGAAGGGCTTAAACACTGTTTGATATGGAAGGACAAAAATTATGTGTTCATGAGCTCATCAACAGCCAGAAGAGCTTAGGTTTGACAATGCAGGGACCTATAAGCTGCAAAAGTTCACTTAACAAAGGAGGAAGTTTGGGATTCTCTCTTATCCTTTTGTTTTCCGACACAGCATAAAGAACTTGAGAGAGACAGAAGAATTCCCCCATTTATGTGTGGCCATGCAGCTCTGAGTGTGCAAAGGATGTTTCAATGTGCTGGGTGTTCTGTTGGGTGTTGGGCAATTTTCCTTCAACTCCCCACTCTGCCACAGGCTTCCTGTGTGAATTCAGGGCAATGGGGCATCAGCATTTCTACAACTTGGTCTCCCTAGAAGTAGATGGGAGATAAAGCCCTTCCTCTATTGCACAGTAATGACACCAAAAGAAACACCCCTAACATCGGAGAGAAGAGGCAGAAACCAGACTGACAGATGTATATTGTAGCTGACTGGTTGCATTTTATAAATACCCATCCAATCTTTAATCTAAGTGATTAGTAACTGGACAACAAAGTTGTTGACAGACTCTGCCCTACAACAACTTCACAGAAATCTGACCCATCGCCCATGTCTAAAATTTTGTTTCCAACATGGAAAAGAGGAGAGGAAGCCTGTTCCCTCAAAAGGAATGCAGAAGTAGAAATGAGAAGAGGATTAAACAAATCGTTTGGCCTGAGAAAATAGAGGCAAGTGGACTAGAGGCTACAGCTAGCCCATCTCAGAGTGCAGGATCAGGTCTTGGCTACAGCATCAAGTGAAAACCTGCTGCTGCAGGAAATGGTGCAGGCAACCTCATGGCCAGGTTACTGAGGGATATCAGCTGCCCAGTCCTGCCTCTGCTCCAATCTGAGCTGGGCACCTTCCTATCTGTAGCTCTGCCATTCCTTTCTCTAAAGACACTGTTCTCTTTCCCACTCCCTCCCAAAGTGTTGCGTGCTCCTGGCAGCTAACGTTCAACCCAGCGCCAAGTTCTGTTCAGGAACTCTTCTGTCTATGTAAAAGCATACTCTGGTCCTTTCAGGTTGCACAGGGCCTGTAAGCGTCACATACTATCACATCAAGCAAACATTATGAACCCAAGCCACGAAAGCAGAGAGAGATTGCCGCAAGAATGAAATCAACAGCCAAGTCCTGGCAACAACAAACCTGTCATCTAACAGGTCATTTAGAGAAGGGTCATTTTAACAGAAAACAGAGCTGAGTTTTGAATCAAAACATTTTTTTTCTTTCGTCTTTTTACCCAGAAAACTGTGAGCAGGTTTATCCTCAACCACTCTGATCCGCCGAGCACCTGCAGGGATCACAGCTGCTTCGATGTAACCTATGGCAACAAAAGAGCAGATGGATGAGAGCATGCCACAGCCAGCCAGAGGCAGCAATCATTCAGTATCTCACCGTGAAAAAATCAACTCCTGCCCAGGTTGGGGAATGGGTGGGAAACACTTCAAAATGAGATCCCTGCATTGGCAGCCAAGTTTCACTGCTGTGACATGCATGGTTATGACTAACGTTTCAGCTTGAGAAGAGGGAGAGAAATGCATGTGCGCTGCTTAATTGTGACTTAAGGCTTGTGCTTGGGCCTAATGAGATTTGCTCCCTTCAGATCACCCTGGCTCTCCTGCGGTACTGGCAAGGATGCATGAGGACTGTTCCTGAGGTGATGCAAAGTGTCACTGTCACGAGCAATGCTGCACATCACAGAACAGACATCTGTGATTCGAAATGAAGTTTCCATTAGATGCTCCTGCTTTCCCCTCTGCAAAAAAACGCTGCTCGAGGCTGTGATCAGTATCAGAAAGGACTCACTTCCACAAAACATTCTGACGATGCTAAAACTAAACAGCAGGAATTAGCGGGACAACTGGGGGAAAAAAATTTGTTTTCACTTACACTTCAGCTTTATACAAAAATTCTGGAGCATAGAATGGTAACAGTCTCCTTGCATCAGGCTGCTAAACAGAATTCCACAGCTCAGATTTAATACAACAGAGTTGAGAGTTTCTCAAGGACTGACCACCAGTCACCTCTAAATGCTGCCAGCAGACGCACATGCCAAATTAGACCATCTTAGCATCTGACATGGTAGGGAAGTTTTCACAGGGCCCCATCATATTTTTATAGAATCCTCTTGGTTTTTATCTTTCTGAAACTCTCTTGGCCATTTCATGCTTCCTTCAACAACCAGCGAAACGACAAAATTGTACCACTTTTGACTAACAGAATAACAGTAAGAATAATTAGGAGCTACAAGGAAATGTAGCCTATTTTCCCCCACCATGGAGCCATGTGGAGTTACCGACTTGTTCCATGGGGTGGAAGCGGTGCCTTTAAACTATAAAGCTGAGGAACATTAGGGCCCATTTCAAAGGTCTGGGAGCCAGGCAAAGTTTTTCCGCTGGCTTCACTGGACTCTGAATCAGGCCCCTGTAAATGACACTAATCTCATCACAGCCACGACCTGATTCCTTCTAATTGGCCACCCAGTTTACTTTGCAGCGTATAACTTGGCACCTCTTTCAGATTATTGCTTTCCCCTTTCTTTTAGATGTTAAGTAGCTTATCAGTATGTTCCCTCATCCCTTTTTTTTGCCTTAAAGGGCTGTGTGAAACTGGTCTGTGTCAGCCCTGCCTTTATGGAAATCAAGGGCAGTCTAGAGCAATGGGTTGGAGAAGTGCTGGCATAAGGCACAGGGACTCCTCTAACACTCAGCAATGTCTGGGGAGCTGTTTTAGGGGGAAGTGCAGTTGAATGGCCGTGCTTCTGCTACACTGATACGCAGGGGCCTCAAAGGAGGACGCTGACAGCTTCACGCATCTCAGGACTACGTGATTCTGTTACCACTATGACATGGAGTGAGACAGACGGGGATTTGGGGTCTCAGACTGTGGATTCATTTCTACCTGTCTGAACCAGCAGAGTGGCAGTCCCTTTGCTGTGCTATGAACACAACTTGAGCTCTTGGCTTTCATGAGGTGCGTTGGGTGGACAGCTGATCGGGGCCAGCCACACTCCTTCTTTCCCTCATCATTGTTTCTGAATGACACTTTCCATTTGACCCTTCAGCTCAGTTCTTATTGCATTTGTTCCTCCTTACTTACTTCTCCCTTACTCAGGATATCTCAGAAACAGTCAGTCATCCCTTGCAGGAAAAACAGAAGGAGGGAGAGCAGAGCTGCAAACCGTGTCTGTGTACAGAAGCCAGAGCAGTGGCTCTCCCATCCGCTGTTAAAGAGTGGGTTTCACTGGGAAAAATCATTACTTCCAAGGTCAATTTTTTTGAGGCAATACTGAAATCTGTTATGAATTCAAAGCAAACAGTTGTTGGATTTTATTCTAGACATTGCCAGGAGTTGGTTTTTCATCAGCTGAGATACCAAATTACAGTCAAAACAGAGTGTTTCAGAAATCAAACATCTTCACTGCACCCCATGCATCTGCGTATAAACCCGACCGACATTTACCACCAGACATGAGCACACAGCAAAGGTGTGATTAATGACAGTCCGTCATGGGGAAATAGGCCCTATGACACACCTGAACACCCCTGTTAGGAAGCCAGTTTGGAACATGCCCAAGTTTCAGGTAATTTAATGCACCTACTGGGGGACTGTTTATTTATTCATTTTTTAAATCACAGCCAGATACAAATGCCCAGAGCTAAATCATGCAGGGGTTGGATACGAAGTTACACTGAATTTAGTGGCAAGCCAGTCACTAACTTGAGTGAACTCTGGATCCGTCCCCTGAGCCAGCAGCAGCCAGGAGTGTGTCACACTGCTTTAGAGGTGAGCGAGCTGTGGAGCCATGCTTGAGGTTCAGCTAGTGCCATAAATACGCTCTTATTTCATCACTGTGCCATGAAAGAAACACCACGTGGAAAAGTTGACTTTTATGTTACTTTTTACAATGGTAAATAGTGGAGTGTAAGCTATTAATAACGTATTAATTCTGGAGACTGTTTAGTTTGGTCTTATACCAGATTTTTCTCTCATGTAATTTCTAATCCTGATTGATGTCTTTGGGGGGGTTGTATTCACAGCTCCTGAAGAAGAAGAAACACACTGTGCTAACTCACTGAGCTCATGTGGCACAGACCCGACTGCTGACCTTCACTCTTCTGCTAGTGAACTGCGAACCACTTTGCAGTTGTATGGATCTGACCTGTCCTTTCAGAGATGAAGCAGAACTCTTGGGCATGTCCCACCAGGAGTGTCTTGACACTCTCATTCATTATTTCCAGCAATATGGTGTGAGTTAGTGGTCAAATCCTATTGCAAACAGACTACATAACATCCATGCAAATTTACCACAGGTACAAACTCAGATCGCTACCACCACTCCAGTCTGGTCCTTAGAGCTAATGTGAGGCTTCTGGTCACAGAATATTCCTGATCTTTGAGATAACTGCACCAGAAGACACCTCCATTGTTTTCCAGGCACATTTTATTAAGCAAGCTGTAACTGCAGATTGCCAGAAAGATTATCAAGTGTCAGCTAGTAAGACCAAAAAAAGTCTCAGAGTTGGCCCTGAGTCAAGGACTCTCAAAGATCTGTTAGGGCTTAGGATAATTGTCTGCAATGCAGGGGTTTACAAGGTTGGGCTTAAAGTTCTGCTTTAAATGAGGAACTGGTTAAAGACTGATGAGATTTGGCAACTATCAGGCAGTATTTCTAGTAATTTCACCCATAAATCAGCCTGTTAAGATGAAGCTTTGAAAGTACAACAGGAGAACTTCATTATTTGATAATTTATAGTGCTGTATGTAGTATACTCCACCTTGGGAACAGTTACTTTGGCACGCACCAATCTTTCTGGATAATTTGCATTACATCAGTGTCTCAGGAATGTAAGACTGTGATTGAAGCAAATCCTAGATACAAATTATATGGTGTAACTCGTATTAGGAGAGACACCAGAACAAAGAGGTGGCTTTGTCATCAAGGAGATTAATATGTGAACAGTGGCTACTGTATCTTCATTTAAATGCTGGAGAGATTTGCAAGAGGAAAGCAGCTCACACAGGAAAATCCATTGTTAGCCATTGTTATTATTCCCAGAAAGAACAGAAAGTTTAGTGTGAACTTCAGAATGTCACTGATCTGCTACAAAACTGTTCTCCTGGTTCACATTACAATGAAAGATGGACTTTGAGGTAAAGGAAAAATTATCCCATGGCTGAAAGTACTGATCTCTGGGCACTGTACCTTCATATCTTATCCCTGTACACACATGAAAATTAGGTGTGAGAAAGTCAACAGTGCTCATCCCATTATCAAACTTCCCAAAAGTGCTTTGAACAAAGACCTCAAGGTAGAAGCCAAGGAAATCAGAATGCCCTGCCCTACCTGCTGGTCATGGCCAGCACAGCTTCCTTAATATTTTAGGGATAAGTACCAGCTGGGCATTTCAGTTTCCATGATCCTTCCCACCTTGCACCTTTTGCTGACTGCTAGTTGTTGCAGTGGAGTGGAAATATGTCCAGTGGTGACTACATGTCCATTTTCTGAATAGTTGTGATGATTCTTACTTGCTATTAGCTTGAGAGTAATTCCTCCACCAGTACCTGTCCACTTCCAGCCATGGGATAGCTCATTGTAAGAAAATCATTTCACTGGGGAGCCATGGATAGATTTCAAAGCCTCCTACTATTGCTGTGAAGTTGGTTGCTGGGATTTCTAACTTGCATGTTCTGCTTAAACCCTTATAAAGACAACCCAGAGTTAGCCCTAGGGCTCTATTTTCTCCTCATTTAGATGTACACCCTATTGACAAAAAAACAGTTTCTTGTGTTGGCTAAAGATCTTCCTAGCCAGCACTACAGCACCACTGTTCAAATATCCTTTCTTTCTTTTAAATATGTGCTGGACAAGTAACGAACACAATAAAAAGCCTGCTTTTTCACCATTTTAAAAACAAAAATTGCTAGCAAAGATACACTCTTCATTTCCCAAAATGATAGTTACAACAACTGGCATATCTCACCTTATTATGTTCTGCCATTAAAAAAATCCAAATATCTGTGGTCCTTCTTTTGGATCACAAGCAAAGGGCAGCAATGAAAATCTTGATATGGCTGAGAAAAATCAAGAGAGACAGATGCAGGTCTCATTCTCAATGCAGGTCTCTGAGCATTACAGGCACAGCCTTGGAGTCTGGACAGAAGAAGTCAGTGATAAATCAGCCACCCAACAGATACGAGCCAAAGAGCTGTCCTTTATTTCTAGGCCCCCTGTACAGTGGCAGGGAGAGAGAGATGGACTTCAGAACAAGTCTGTGTTTGTTTTTGAAAAATTACTTTGTAGAAATAGGTACAGGGCATGCTGCCAGTCAAAAGGAAACCTCAGTCTAAACAGTGCATTCAGGCGGCCTACTGAAGGCAGACAGCTGCACACAAGTGTATGTGATGTTTAGCATCACAAATAAAGGCTTTTGACCTCATCCCCAAAAGAGAAATGGAATCCATTTACAGCTGGATCACCCTGGATCACAGGTGGCAAGATCTGAACTGCTGGACCTCCTATGAGGCACTTTGGATGTTCCACCATCATGCCCCCCTAGGGTGGCAGAACCTCATCTGTGACATTAAGGTTAGAAAAAAAAAGAAATAGGCCCGGTTCTTTTTCCTTGGTTAATGAAAATTTGGCTTTCTTTCATGCAGATAGGTTTTCTAAAAGGAAAGGATCTGTACTTGATACCTTTGACAAACCAAGCTAAATAGTAAAAGGACTTGAAGTTTATCCATGGCTTTGGATACCAATCTCCCCATCTAATCCAACCAAAAGAAGACAAAGAACCAACACCAAAGGATGTCACCAACACCCACTGACACTGCAAAAAGCATTCAAGTATCTTACACGAGAAACACTTGGGAATAGCCTTTGCCTTTGCCATCACACATGTCGAAACCTTCTTACAATGACTATTGGTTACTAAGAAACAGAAAGGAGTTGGCATGGATTTAGTTCAGTTAATAGGGCTTGACAACATAATTTGCAATCACAGGACATATAGGGACCAATCCCGCAGTCAACCGAGTCCCACGTGCAAAGCAGCTGAGGATCTGGCCCAAAAGGCTGCAGCTGCAATTCCCAAAACAGATACCACTCCAAAACAACCAAAGTCTTGATATTTGAAGTTTATTCTTTTCTGAAATAATAAATCAGCATACTTGACTCAGTGCATTGGCCTTGACTTGGATCATAGCAAGTTCATGAGGATTTGCCACTGACCTGTGCAATTATTTACACATCCAAACCCTGAATTTGTTTCTGTAGTCATACCGTGTATTCTCCTTTGCCACAACTTTTGTCAGATTTTTGTACATATTTGCTTAAATGTCAATTTAAAGAAAAAAGGCCAATTTTTTTCTTGAGTAACCTCATATTCACTTGTGATACCTCAGACCCAACCCTGGAGCTTTGCCTACTGCATAAGATTCAGTAAGTTAACCTGAGGACCTGATTTTGCAGAACAGCAGTAAATTAATAGAAATTGATGGGTGTAACTCACAAAGCACAAAATGTTTGCAGAATCCAGCCTGGGAATCATAAGTGAAACCAACAAGTCTGTTCTCAGTGTCTAACATAAAAGAAATCCAAAAGCAGGAAAACATGAACAGTGAACATTTAAAAGACTGTAAATATTCTTTCCATTTTAGTAGGCTAGGATGCTCATTAAAAAACGCATAATTTAAAAAAAAAAAAGGAAAGATGATTTTGTTTGGCATATGATGGATGTCACTTTTTAAAACTATTCCCACATAAAATTTAAGTCCCATTAAAATTAATAAATCAGAACATCTAATAAATGCTTATGAGATTATAATTGTAAAAACAATTATCTTACAGATTATGTGAGATGGGTAAAGGTGGAAACATTGCATTGATGAAGCAACATTTTGACAGGTTTTTGCTTCTGAGATGATCAGCAAAGAATAAGGATCAATAAATGCTTGAACACCGTCCATGATTCAGTCAGCCATCTCTTCTTATTAGGTTACAGGGCGCTGGGGGTGAAAGCGTCCCGTAGTGTCCTGGCAGCCAGACAACCTGTGAAGGCTGAAACTGTTCCGTTCCTACAGCCTTGTAAAGTTACCACCCTCAAGCAGTCCGTCTAGTTGGAAACGGGTGCAACCTCCTGACAGTGACCTAGAAATTTCTAATTTATCTGCACAAGATGTTTCGTAGTCTCATTGGAAAAGATAAAAGATAGTTACTCTTCAGGAGCAATTAAGAAGTTCATGAACAGCTATAAAATCTGCTACAGGAATCAAGAATAGTTTTTTTCAATGGAAATGAGAAACTTTTCCCACCATTTGCATCAAATGCAAATGACTTGACATAAGTAGGTGGAAAATAACTGGGACGAAAGAGTCAAAGGCAGTAATGCAGGAAATCATTCAACAGGTTGGCCTAGCAATGCAACAGCACAGACGTGCTCCAGGAAGAGGTAGTGGAGGTGGGAAATCCTACCTGCGTCTCAGAGGAGGTGACAGATCACAGCTGGCTCCACAGATAAGGAGGAGGAGGGTGCAGAGGAAGAGGTCAATGAACAAAATCAGAGCCTCAGACTTCAGTGCTGAGAGCTTGATTCAAGGAAGCAGCTAAGCACTGGTGCTGCTTTAGTAACTACTCAGAATTGAAGTGTGTACTTAAAGGGAATCTTTATGTGCTTTGCTGAACTCAGTCCTGGAGTAGCACGTGTTGAACATATTTCTCGTACAGAAATGGCAATCCTGTATTCTCTGAATGTGAAATAATTTTTTCTGGACAATTCCTTCCTCTCAGAGCAGCTTGCAAGTCCTGAATCTGGCTTTCCCTCCCTTTACCTGATTAGGATGTGTGATAACAGGTTTCTCTGAAGCACAATACAGAAACTCTGGAACGAAGACTAATTCAAACACCAAGCTGTCTATACATTAATGTTTAACAAGTGAGGGGAAAGTCTTAAGTCTGACTGGAAGATCTTGTATCCTATACTGGATACTATTGCTGGCAGGGAGTCGGTAAAAATATTCAGAGGGGAGTGCTCTTTCATTTAGCTGAGATACCTTGATTATAACATGAATAATCTGCAACATGCAACATGCATCACACTGAGCTCTCAAAGAGCTCAAAGGTGGTGCTGAAATCAGACTTCCCTCCCACTGGAAAAGATACTGTGATTTTGTCTCTTATTTAAAATCAACAGCACTGGTAGCATTCAAAATGAGAAACAACTTCATTCTGAATTTCAGACAGAGGCAATGGCTGATATGTGGGCAACTGAGTAAGAATCAGATAGGATATCACATTTGAATTGAGTTGGGTTTCGTCTTGTGTTTCTTATGTGTTTACTAGAGCAGATGAGTCCAATGCTATCCAAGAAGAAGAGCTATTACTTCCACTCTTTAACTCTCCTCAAGCAGTTAAGAGAACCTCCACTCCACTAAAATGCTGCTGAGGGTTACTCACCCATCCCCTTGGTGTGGTTGAAGTCGCCTTTCACCACTTTACAGGTTTTGCCATCACCACTGCAGATTCCACAGCGATCCTCTTTGGCAGCTGAGCCAATGATTCCATCGCAGCCAATTTTCTAATGACAACAACCAGAGGTCCCCATTATTTTGTTTGCAAGGTTAAAGTATCTCTAAACATTGAGGTCAAGGCTAAGATAGACATCTGACTGAAAACCTGAACGGGAAGAGAACACTGTGAATCAGGGGAGCACTCATTTGGAACGGTGTTGAGTTGGTTATTCAGCAACCCCCTTCTCTAACACTAAGAGCATGAACTTTGATTCAGAAGATTTAACCGAAGAAAGTTTCATAAACACTAGTTATTCCAGATATCATCACAGATTTCATACTAACCCACTCTAACTTCCTCCAAACACAACAGACTAAAACAATGTTTCATGTTTGTATAGCAATTTCCATCTGAGGAGCTCAAAGACATCCTGGAGAAATGGACCACTACTGTGATACTTAGTTTAGAGGAGAGAAAAATGTGACTTCCTTAAATGAAAATTAACCCAAGTACCCAGAATGCTGGTCATAGCCCTTCACCACACAAAAAATCAGACTTCTGTTACAAGTTCCAGTGCTGCTCACTGAATGAGCTCTGCTTTGGGTTGGGATCTTAATGGGGAGTGTAAGATCAGTTCTGATTACACTTTTGCAATTCCTGAAAAAAGACCTCATTAATCAAATAGCTCAAGATACCTGCAATGCAAAAGTACTTCAGTGGAAGCAGGTCAGGTTCATATTTGGCCAATGTGTACCATAAGATTACTTACACAATTATGAAATTTTCCATATGCTTGCACTGTCTTAAGCTTAGGTGTTCAACTGTAAAAAAAAAAACCCCAAACCAAAATCCAACCCCCCTCCCCAAACAACAACCTAACAATTTCACCTAAAGCTTCATTTTAAATGGTATTTTCATAATTTTCTATACCTAACTTTTTCCAATAAAAATCTGCAGCTTTGCTTCCACAGACAGGTATTACTAGAACAGTCACTGTATTCTCCCTGTAGCTATAGAGACTGTCATGGTAATCTTCCTTATTCACAAACCATTTACAGGTTATGATGGTGACCATTGCACATTTGTAGATCTTGAGGTTGATAAGACTTATTGTCATTAGTCTATGTAAATTGTTTTCTGTCCATGTAAGACCCTCAAAATAATCAGCAATTCACTCTTAAAACAAATTTCCACTGAAATAAGAGTTGTCATTATGCAAGTTATTAGCAGAGATTCTACTATTAAAAATAAGTTGAAGATTTATTCTCTGTGGATAAACAGTTTCTTGGCAAATGAGTTAGCAGGACTGTCACTAATAATACGTATTTGAATAAGGCTGTTGGGTCTCTCCCTTCCTTGCCTTCTTATAATAAAGCCAGAGGAAAGTTGGAGAGATATCTTAGGAAACAATCAAAACAACAAACATTTTGAAAAATAGGGTAAGCAGGGAAATATTAAGAGAACTTGGGCTGTTTATCTGAGACTGTCTGCGTATAAGCAATGTGATTTGGACCTGAACCCAAACATTCCCCTTGTTTCAGAAGACACTGGCCACTGCCTAAGTCCAGATGTATTACAGGGATCAAAGACTGCCAGCATTCAGACGTGTTCTGATGCAGTGTTTGTCTGGGTAAATCATTAGAGACAGACACATGCTGAGAAAGGAAGATCATCCTAAACACATACAGGGAAATGCTGCTCATTAAGTAGAACAGCATGTAAGTTGGTGGATGAGAACAATGGGAAAAAACCTGTATAAATGGGAGTTAAAGGAAGGTAGGAAGAAGACCATGGAGTTTCTGGCAGTTGCAATTCTCAAATCTAAACTTCACACCCATGTCCAACAAATAATTTTGGGATATTGAATATGATTCTGCCCCCAAAACAGAAGGATGTCCCAGCAGTTCTCCTTCCAGGAAAATAAATATGATTTATTAATGGGGTTGCTGAAAGGCAGCTGGAAATATATGCCTGCCTGCCACCCTGCTGAGATACTGGAAAGCCTGCATTTAATTTAAGACTCTAGTGCTATCTTTTATTGTACTGCATTGTTATTAGCACTATGTGAGCACACAAATGAATAAAGGGAATATAATGAGTGTTGAACCACACTTATTCCCAGTGCTACATGAGGAGTCTGTAGGACTATAACGGAGGCAGGCAAAGAATAGGGAGTTAGCAATCACATGCTTTGCATTTACACTGTAGTTTCCCAGATAATGTAAACCTCTGCAAGCCAGCAAAGCCTCTGAAAGAATAAGTCCCCCCTCTTCTGACACTGGGGTTCAAGCCAAGCCATTTCCTCCCCCATTTACTAGGTCACTGACACACTTTGACTTGAAAGACCCTCTCTGAAGGCATGGAAAGAGCACCCAGTGAATCCACAAACATACCTCCCAAAACCTGTGCTGTTTTTTACCTTTCATCTTCACCCTGTGAGTTCCCTGTGAGTGGAGGAACTGGGAATGGCCCTTGCAGCCTTCCCTTCAATGGTACTATCCCTGCCATCCACAGGGCAGACTTTCCCCTCAAACCAGGGCTTGAGGATTAATGCCCCCATCAGATTTGGGCCAGGAAATAGCCTCTTACAAAGGAAAATCTTTAAGAGAATAAAACAGTTTTCTTTCTTGGCTTCCAGATGAAAATTGGTGCCTTATTGCTACTTTATGGGGGGAAAATACCTTGGAAGCACTTTATTCTTGTCTACATTTCCACCTCCACAAGCCTTCCAATAATTTCCAAAGTAAAAGTGTATTTAATAACAGCACATAATGAAACAGCTTTTGTTAAGATTTGACACAATGGATTCCAAAAGCTGCAAAGTCATTTAGAAACACATTACAGTGACCACCTCGGGCACGCACATTCTTTGAGAACTCCCCACACTGAAAATACTGCCACTCTTTAAAACAAGTGCAAAGGGGAAGAGAGAGGGCTGGAAGGGCGAGGAAGCAAAACACCACCCTTCCTGGGAGGAAAGTATCTGCCAGCGGTCCTTGGGCTGTTAATTGAGAGATACGTCCAGCTTTCTCCAAGGCGAGAAAGCCCCTGAGATTCCAGCACTGGGGGCCAGAGGTTTACGCCTGAGCCCCACCAGACTGGGGGGGAAGATCTGTCGAGTCTGTACATCATCAGCTTCTCACTGACGTTATGCTGTATGCTTTATGTATTATAGCGTCAATCGTTAAAATAGATAGAGCTTTCAAAAAAGTGAGGGCTTAATTAACCGTATGCAAAGGGAAAATGCCAAGTTTCACTGCTAAAAAGTCAAGTTTTCATAGTGCAGAAACAATCCCTTAAACCCCAAATAGTTCAAGGGAGTTATTTGATCTTTACCATCTCTAACTTGCTTTGTGCTGCTTCCTGTACAGTCCAGCATACTGACTAAGGTAAGGTGATTTTTTTTTTTAATTAAGAAGCAGAAAGGCAGAAAGGGGAAGCTGTACATTCTGAGGAAAGAAAGACCTTGCAGATAACATCCTGTGCATTTTCTGACCTGAGAGTTATCCTGCAGCTGAGTAGACTGAGTCCATGGACCAGTCCATCCAGCAATAGTTGGATACTTTCAGTTCCATCAGTCTTCAATGGGATGGTGAGAAGGGAAGCAGTTTTGTATTCTTACCAAGATGATCCGTTAAGGCGTGAGCAGGGCACTTGGAGCTCGTCTGTGCACCGGA